GAACTCAGTTGAACTGGCACCACATACTGATGCGATCTCCTGTCACAGCCTGAGAAACAGTGAGTCTGTCTCCCAATAATGATCAATATGTTTACAGTATATGTAAATCTTTTATGATATGTCTTTGTTGTAAATGTCTGTAGATTTTATTTTTGTTTTGTGTAAATTGTATTATTCATGCTAATAAAGCACCTTGAATTGAATTGAAAGAGCGAGCGAGCGCCAGAGTGGGTCAGCTGCACTGGTCAGCCGCCTTCCTAATCCTCGACCTGACCACTACTACTCCCGTCCTGCCCATCGCTGCGCACCCCAGCCGGGCACTCTTCGGCCGCAGCGCCGGGCGAATGCGCTACAGTATAGTTGGAGTGAAATAATTTGTGTTCCTGCGCTTTTCACTCCTATGGAACAATTTCTGCAAAAACTGCCAGTAGCAGCCGTGCGAAACTGGCTACCTTACCAGTGTGTGCAGTGGTGCTGGTGTGTGCAGTGGTGCTGGTGTGTGGAGTGCTTATAAGCTTAGATTTAATTTAAGTTTAACTTCATGAAATGTATTTATGTAAAAACAATTTTTCAACTCAACATTTTATGATACTGCAAGTTTGTTGTTTTTATTTTGGACATTATAAATAATAACTTATTTATAAAGTGCCTTTCCAAACCGAGATGGAGCTGCTGTTGTCGGGCAGGGAGCACAATTCCATTTTCCTTGCTGGCCTGATGCAGCAGGCTCAGGTCAGCTCAAACAATCATATTGAGCGCAATGCTTCATTGTGCACAAAAGCTGCTGTGTATAATCAAGTGTGCTTTATGTCCCCATTACACGGGGACACTATAATATAAAAAGGCGCCGTCCTTCCGATGACATGTAAAACCGAGGTCTTGACTGTGGTCATTAAAAAAATCCCAGGGCGTTTCTTGAAAAGAGTAGGGGTGTCCTGGCGTCCTGACCAAATTTCCCATTGGCCCTTACCAATCATGGCCTGCTAATAATCCCCATCTATGAATTGGCTTCATTACTCTGCTCTCTTCCCCACTGAGAGCTGGTGTGTGGTGAGCGTTCTGACGCACTTTGGCTGCCGTCACATCATCCAGGGTGATGCTGCACATTGGTAATGGTGGAGGGGAGTCCCCATTACCTGTAAAAAACTTTTAATGGAGTGTCCAGAAAAGCGCTATATAAGTGTAAGCAATTAAAAACAGAACTTTGATAATACTGATTGAGAATCAATAGATTGTTTCAGACAAGCTCGCCAATATTCACCTTACACATGTAGAAGATCCACAAAACTTGATTTGTAATTTTGTAACAGAGCTTCTAATTGGAGCCAAGAACATAATAGGACATGTATCGTATCACTCTTCATGAATTCCACAGCAGCCTGTGGGTGACTTGAGCATGCTCTTGAATACCGTTGCCCAGTAGTTATTTCTCTGAGATCAGCTCTGTACCAGAATACGTATTCACATCCATACCACTCCTATGTTCAGTCAGATGGGACACCAGCACTCTGAATGGCAGAGAGCAGACTGTCACATTACAGCTAAGGCTGAGCTGCCTCCCACACTGCAGCAAATAGTACCTAGAATCTGACACTGGAAACCAGCAGCTGAATAAAAACTCCCCAGAAGCTATTAAAACCTCAATAGAAAGACAATAACTCAGACAGGTAGAGATGCCAAGCCATGTAGTGTCTTATAGGTGAGTGTGAGGGTTTTGAATTCTACTGGAAACCTGATAGGAAGCCAGTGCAAGGACTCAAGGCCAGAAGTAATGTGATCACTTGCACAGCAAGCAAAGATTGAATTTCAAGTATAGCACCATCCACTGGCTTTATGTAGGTTATGGGAGGTGCTGAGTGTAAGGTGCTTGTAACTGTTTTTACACCTAAGATAAAGTGCTTTCATATGCTACTTTTAAAGGTGCTATATAAAAAAAGCATTATTTTGCTTAAAATCATGTTGCTTAAAAGGATCATGGCATATTTGATGTATTTTATTCTCCCTGACGTTCTTACCATTTTCACCACAGGGTAAAAATAAGAGTGACAAACTCTTAAGGATGAACATTGATTTTATTGTTCAAGGAACTGAAACAGGTTTACAAATGTATCACCATACAGACACAACCTCAGGACAAAAAAAAACAACCCACTAAAACTGCAAATTAATTACAAAATAAAACTCCTAAGACAGATGGTATGGCAGACCAAAACAGCTATTTAAAAGCAGAGAATTGAAAAACAAAAACAAATTGACTATCCTGTACATGTTAACTTACCCCCCTCCCATTCATCACTTACATAAACTGTACATATGTACTTATTAACACACACTACCTTTATTTAACAATGATAGTGCCATAAGTGAAGACTATATACAAGAATTATTTCACATTCATGCAGCCTCTCACCTTCACTGATCAACACTTTTATACAGAACACCCCGTATAACCCTTTTACCTTTTATACAGAACCCTATAAAATTCTTCTGGGCTGCTAATTACATTTGACCCTAAGATAACAGTCACAAATCCTTGTGACCTCAGAACTGGCACATTGTGCCAATGCAGGGAGCTGCTGTTATTGCCTCAGCTAGCGGCTGATTTGATGTGTTCAGGTGTATAGCACTCTGTTCAAAACATGTAGAGGTGGTCAGCTGCAGGGAACACTAAGGTGAGTGATCCTAGGAGAGCACAAAATATTGAAATTAAAAACCCAATTAAATGGAAATAAGATCCATATTCTATAATCAGTCTTTAACATACAACGTGTTCTGTGCAGCTGGGTCTATGTCTTTTGGTATGGTTCACAAAAATATTTCAAAGCTCTTTTGTGCCTGTATCGCGTAAAGTCAGTACCATTTAGAAAAAACTTATACTGTAAGTTAGTTAATGAAAAAACTTGGCCACCCGGCTCCTTGATAACCAGTGTCTTCTCCTTTTCATTCCAGATGTGCTCCAGGTATGAGACCTGAACTAGAAAATCGGGGAAACTCAAGTTTTTTTTAAGGGAAACAGAAAAGATGTCTAACCTGGCTAAAAACACTTCAGGTTAGTTCATTTTAACACAGTAATTTTAGAGCCTCACAAGAGGATTTACAGTCATCTCTCATAAAATCAAATATGAATTAGAGAACACATACTTAAAAAGGTGACGCCCAGTTTTGGGAAAAAAGTAATCCTCTACATTTTTAACCCTAATTATTTACAAATAATTGAGTAAAGTATTCCAGTACCTTTTTAAAAGTAATAATCTGGGGGCAATTTCTTTTTAGAGGTTACTTCACACAATAAGTATACATATACTACATACAGAAGATCATTGTAACAGATAATGTTTAAAAGTTATTTATCCACTTACATCTTATTAATTTTTTTAAAAAGGTAATTATTAAACAATAGGACTAAGGATTCTTTTAAAAAGTAACTTTCCCCCAACATTGGTAACACCACTGTCTCAAGTTGTAAGGTTTTTAAAATTTACAGATTTCTTAATAGGAATGTTAAAGGTTGGAAAAAAATAGCAAACATCTGTTAACAGTCAAAACAAATGTAGGAGTTAAGATTTCAGCCCCACTTGGCCTGAGTGTTATTATAAAGGAAGAAGTTTTATATGGGTACATTATGTCGATGGGCCGCATGGTGATTTGCATGTGGCAATGTAAATACTGTAAAGAAAACTGAAAATCTAATCATTAATCAAACTCATATTGGAAGTTCCTTATGCAATCACCACACAGGTTTCTCATCTTCGTATGGAAAACTTTAGCTTTACCGTGGAGATATTACTGGAGTTAATAGGGAAATCACAGAGGATATACAGTGGACACAGCCTCTAGTGGCTGCAGGAGACCTAGAAGACTGAGCCTCTTTCGTGAACAAGCTGTTGGGCCTGTTCAGACATCCTTTATATTAACTTCTTCAACCCAAGACAAAAATATCCAGTTTACAGGAAATAAGCAGAGAAGATCTCCATAGCAATATTTATTTGGATTGGATATGTTCTATGGTGCTCTCAAAGCTCTCTAGTGTTTTGATCCCTTATTCTTTATGCATCACACCTCAGCAGTCTGCAGTCTGCAGACCTCTGTACACAAAGTCTTTACAGATAAACACTAGAATTACTGCTAACAATCATTGGTACTGCAAACTGAATTTGTGCTATATATTTCCCAGTCCTTCTCTATTTTGAAAGCCCAGGGCAGTGCAATAGATGACATATTAAGTAGCTGTTCAAATTTTAGAATGGAGGTTTTCTTGAAAAATTATTTTGTCATCTTCTATTCCTGTAATGTGATTGCTATTTCACTGATCAACACCAAAAGCAAAATAAAATGCATTCTTGCTTTCAAGGTACTTCAATACAGTCCGATGGCTATACATTGCCTCTTCAAAGGATATAGTCCTAAGTGTTATAGTGACAGGTGTGTTTCTGAATATTGTGAACACTCTTGGAAAGTACTCTGTTTATTATTGAACTAGTAGGCTTACTGTTAAATCAAGCTGTTTAGCTATGGTCTAAACATCTTATTTACAGCAGTAGCTATTCCAATCATATACTATAGTCTAATGATTCATATTTTGAATCCAAAATACAAAAAAACTCTCTTCCAACTACTGAATACCTCTCCCTTGCTTGTGAGCACAGCATTTTTCAAGAGTTAAAAACCCAGCTAACCCTGCTCACAAAACTCCCTTCCTCCTACAGGATCACTCAGCTCTGATGCCAACTTTAAACATGCAGTTTGTAGATGGTGAATAACAGAAATAGATAACTCAAAGTATTACAAACAATAACCAAAATCATCTTGATTTGCCTGTCCAATACTTACAGAGTACTTGTGCCTGTAAGTAAAATCTTTTCACTTTCTCCTCTCATGAATATCATTAAAATGATTCCTCCTTATTTAATGCCATCAGAGACCCTGCAGTGCGCGACCAAACTGCCAAATTACTGTTTGAGGCATATGTCTTCTAAATGAAACTCAGCATGCTACTCTTTGCAATGGCTTCTTTGAGCATAACACAGATTCTTAGAATACATCTTTTGATTTTCTATCAAATTTTTCATAGTATGTAAGAATCTAATCTTACAAATAATTCTTGAGAAACTTCAGTTAAATAAGATTAGAAAATATATCTTCTGTTTATGCCCGTTATCAGTATTTGTACATTTTAATTTTGAAAACACCACAGAATGTTCTGGTGTCTAAACAACCCAACAATTTCTTAGGGAAAGCATTATCAAAATGTAAACATTGTTTTATTCCTACCTCTAAATTAGTACATAGCATGGCATCATCATTGCCAAATACAGTACTATTACACATTGAAAAGAATATGTATTCATCAATCTAAAAATAATATATAAAATCTATTTATATGTTCATGGTATTGGGGCCAAACAAAAGGAAAGAGTGCAGTCACTGGACAGCAGGATAACTATTGTTTTAACAAAGTATGAATAAAATACACTGAAAAACCTCTTCTCTTATACATTAGAAAGAACAGGAATATGATATTCAAGTGCAGTAGTATATTTCCATTAGTTAAGGTTTAAAGGTTAGCACTTCAAACTGAAAACAAAGAAAACATCTTTCATAAAGATCATAATACACTGAAGCAAGAACAACACTGCTGACCTCATGCGTGAGCTAGATTTTTCCAAAGGAAAGACGAGACGTACAGCCCAGCTGTGGAATCCTGGAGGGACAGGATCTCACTGCTGTTTCCTGACAGTGTGGGTGTGCTGAAGATGCTCCCCTGCTGCCGTGCTCCCTGAGCAGTTTCAGCATTTCAATCAAACTCACCCACTACTCAGCCCCCCAAACAGCACAAATTTGAAAGTAACTGAATAGAGAGGGATGATTTATAATCATGAGGTCAGATTCTCTCTCCCACTCAGCTATCGGCTGAAGATGTCAGCAAGTTCTCCACATTCCACATTTTCCACACTGAGCTGTAAGACTCAACTGGTACTGGAGATGGATGAGACTGCCTTACTAACCCTCCTCTTTTCTCATGTCATGAAGGAAATACTCTAAGTCAGCTTTCCCCTGCTTCAGAAGTGAACCTTTAAACAGGTGTACTACAAAGACAGGCAGAGGCAGCCTGAGCCGGGCCCCTCTTATGTCTGCGACACAAAAGGTATTTTACACTTAATCAGTGAGACTGACACTGGTTAATCGTGTCCAGTACTGGCGTCTGTGTGGCTGCAGCAAAGGACAGACAATGTGAATCAAACAGGAGAACAATGGAGAGGAAACTAGCATGCAAGCATCCATGAAGGCATATTTAAAAAAACAGACAAACAGAAAAGCTCAACCATGCCGACTCCGATCTGCAGGATGAAGCTGGCAGTTAGTGAACTGAAATGAGATGGAAATGTATTTGGCATATCTCCACACAGAAGCAAAATTAGTCTCAAAACTAAAGGTAAAAAAAAATTCTCATCAGCATGATGAAGCCACTACTTGAAAATGTTGTCAAATAAAAGTGCTAAAAAATCATGATCTGCATTAAAGGTTTTGCTATCTATTAATGGTAATACTAAAAGATACCACAGAATTGAAAACTGCCAGCTTCATTTGTCAGGAGTGATGATGTTTGTGTAAGGTCAATAGCATCTTAATATTCTTTGAAGAGAAACCTCTATTTTTGACGAATATATTGGCCTTTGGCTCACGCATGCACTGACACCTCCAGTGTGTGACACCTGCTACTCCCCACCTCTCACCATCTATCACGATCAGTGCTTGTAAGCTTTGCCTGTTATATATATAGAGGACAGTCCCTGTTGTGCTACAGAATTACCCACGATTTCAGAATACAAGGATCTGAAACACTAAAGTGCAAAAGGTGGCCCTGGGTCCATAGCACACTGAGTACCTCACACACATTTCTGGTCAGTGTACAGACAGTAGTATTTTCACTTCTCCTTTTTGTCTGTTTTCAGTAATGGAACAAGACCATTACTGGGGAGGTTTTCTTCACACAAATACAGAGAAGCGAAGCAGTAGTGTTCCCAAGAAAACCCGCAAAAAACACAATGACAGAAATCAATGTTGCGGCCTCTACAGTATATTCTGAACGTGCAGGGCGTCACACTGTGCCCGGTCTTGGCTGGCTGCCCAGGCCACAAGAGGCGCTAAACTGGAAAACAGTTCTTCCTTTAGCATGTTTCTATTATGGAGACGATGAACAAGTTGCTACATCGCATTAAAAATAAATAAAGTGTGGACGAATACAATATTCACAACCTCAGAGCTTATTAGTGTTAACTCATAAATACAAAGGGCAAAACCCTCGTCACCCAGGATAATTGAAATTTAGCCTATCGGTGAAATCTAAAACAGTCTATCACCGCAGTTTGACTCTCTGGATAAAAATTTCCTGATTTGTTTTTGTTTTGTGAAGGTTGACAGTGTTAGAAAAAAGAATCTTTACATGTTCAATGCCGCCCTGCTGCGCCGCTCCTCTGGACGGACAAACGCCAGAGAGAGGAGGCCCCTCCCCGGCCACGCAGAGCTGCGCAGGGCCTTCCAGCCTGCCTTACACCCTGCGGCTCCGCCGGGAGTCAGAGGAGCGGAGCAGACTCGTGCCGCAGGTCTCCGTCTCCAGGTGAACTGTGGGTTTAGTGTTGTGGTGATGTTCATCAGTACTGTGCTTGGTCCTTCTTTCCCCTCGGCCTCTCGCCCCGGCACCAGCTGCTACTGGTGAACCTCGTTGGCTATGAGGCTGTCTTCTCCTGACTGGAAGTCCCCCTCGTTGATGCTGCTCCCTGCGTTAATCATCTCCTCATCCTGAGAGGAGCCCTGGCCGTCATCCTCCCCGCTGCCTGCCCCCGTCTCGTCTGAATTCGGGTCCTGCAGGACCTGAGCGATGTACAACGTCTGCTGGGAGGGAGGGAAGAAAAGGGAACAGGGGAGACCTTTAACCTCGAGAACCTCACACATTTTCACCTGACAATAATATTACTGTGGTTTCATTAAGTCTATTCATAATGTCAATAATGTTGAGCTGGTTGAGTTTAGGCTTTGAAACAACAGTAATATTATTGTCAGGTGGACCAACTAGAACTGGGTGTTTCAATGCGTGACCCCCATGTACTCTGGTGTTGGTATCACAGTGAACTTGCATGAGTGTGTCAGTGAGTGTAAGAGTCAACCAATGTTTGAAAAGTTTAAGAAAAGGTTAACTTTTGTAGCACAACTAAAAAACAGCTGTAAGTGGAAAAAAGTTATCAGTCTTATGTCTGCAGATCTATAATGTTTGTTTTATCTAATTTTGTGTAGATATGCTGAGCTTCTGTAAAACTTAACTACACCTGCTCCAAACCCAGCTGAGAAAAATCTAATATATTCAACATATATGTTGGTTAAAAATAGATACATTAAAAAAACCCTGTGGTGAAACTGAAACCAAACCCTTTTGACATTTGTTTGTAAAAAAGAAAGCTTAAACATACAAAATAAGATGATTTAAGAGACACAGAATGGTTAATGAAACTATGGTTTGAGGGTTAATAAGTAAACAGAAATTTGTCCATTTCCTAGCACTCTTGTGGTTTTGAGAACGAAGAGACAAGAAAACCTCCTGCAGGAGGGTTCCAGCCCCAAAGGAAGCTAAACTTACTGCAGATTTGTTGGAGGGGGAAAATCGAGGAGGACGACCATTTTCAACACCATCAACTCCCGTCTCCTGGGTGTCAATCTGGAAGATGCAAACGTAGTTTTACTAAGTTACCAAGAAGGGGAAGACATCTGACACATCTTGCTGGCAACATATTGTTGCAAGTGACAAAAAACACACTTTTCGCCAGCGATTCCAGCAGGCAAAACTAGAATTAATGCTTTTGAAGAAAATAATTAAATAGTTAATTGACAACAACCTCTTTCAGAGTATAAGCCAAAATGAAAAAAAAAGCTTTTAAATTTGTTTTGATTCTCTAGGATTTTTCCAGTCTTCTGCAGCTACGAAAACTAAACTCATCCAGAATTACCTGACCATCTGCTTCTTTTTTTCTGAGTGAAGAAATGATATGAACTTAAACTTTCCTTAGAAAGAAATGTGTGTATTCATCAGTTATTTAGTGAAATTCTTACACTGAGTCTAAAACTGGGTTATTGTAACAAAAGGTCATTTCTTACATGGGACACCAGCATTTTGCACCTGGAACTGTCCAGGTGCAAATGCTGGTGTCCCATGATTCCCATGATCCCAAGATTCACATATCAGTGTCAGGTGCCAAATAATGACAGTTTCAAGTTTTTTTTTTTGGTGTCATACTTTTGTGTTTATTGTTCTACAGTTGATGCATGATGCCGACTGGAGCACTAAATACATGTAAAATAAATTAGAAGTGAGGCCTTACCTTGTAGTTGTGGGCGCTGAGGTATTTGAAATGGCCAAAACAGACGTGAGAAAGGCAGATCACAATGGTGATGATCAGGACCACGAAGGTGAACATGGAGGTGGAGGCCAGGAATCCTGCGAGGAGAAAGACATGAGCACTGCGGTCTTGGACTGCCTTCTGCTAGAAGCTCCACCCCAGGTCAGTCTTGATCCAGGTGCAGTCCTGCAGGACACTGAGTGCCCTGATGACATTAGTTCAGGCTGGAATTAAGTGGATTCGTCTGAATCCGATACTGTTTGGTGTCTGTGTGACAGGGGAGGGCAAGGTCTGAACACAGCTGCCCTGTTCCCAGATCGTCTCCTGACCCTCCAGTCTGAGGAAGTCCAGTCATTCCAACCCCCTTTCCAAGGGAGGCTGGCCTCACCTGTGCGGACAGTGGAGAAGAAGAGGAGCCAGGAGAGACACAGGATGGGCGCGGCCACCACCTGGTTCACAGCCCCAGAGTGGATCTTCTTGTCTAGTTTGGCTGGCAGGTAGGCGTAGTACAGGTTGTACCTGTCCACCAGGTGCTTCAGAAGCATGTACATTAGACCTGTGGGCACATTGTGGCAGTCAGAAGGTGGGGCACTGGGAGCCAGGTGAGCATCAATGCAGAAACAGTGGGCTATCTTTTCACACCAGTGCCCACTCTCAGCAGTTAAGAACACAAAACTGGGAATAAAGAACAGGGCAAGACAGTCTGGACATTAAAAAGGACTAAGCAGTCCAAACCAGTTGAGGAACCTAGCAAGCTTGAAATGGTTAAGAGAAACCGCTATAAGAAATTCATTCTGCTTACAAACAGTAGAGGGTGGCATTCTTTCAAAGACTGACTGATGGAGCTGGGTCACATTTAACACTTGAACTTCAACTTCAACTTCCATTTTGCTCTGTTCAAAAACCTTTAGAGGATTTACATACACATCACTGTAGGGAAGGAAGACAAGCAACAAGAAATACAAAAATATTTCTTGTTTGCATTTCAATGTAAGAGTCACCCTGCTTTGGAGGTTCACAAACCTCACTTTCATTTAGGAATAGTCTATAATTGCTTATATTGTATTGCATAGTTCGCTCCAACACTCTTATTCACCCGTGCATCCAGGCTGAAGCTCAGCCCCCACCTGAGTCATGCATAGCAGGCCAATACACAGAGATCAAGTGAACAACAGCACTTCATGATTGCTAGATTATGCAATCCCAGAGTGGAATTCAGCCAAAACACCACTTTTAACACCCCTACTCTTACGAACAGTGACCTGGGATCTGGACAAGCAAGGATTTGCTTTCCATTGGTGTTTGTTAATAAGCAATCACACAAGGAGCCTTGATGATTTTGTTGGCAAAAATCTTGTCCTGCACAGGGAGGGCCTTGTCATTACAGGGTTGTGAAAACAAGATAAAATAAATCACTTAATCAGCCATATACAATTTCTTGCATTAGGAATTTATCTTATTACCCCAGCTTGCTCTCCATGAGACAAACGGGCACACAGACAGGGAGAGAGAAGCTTGACGTCAGAGCGCAGGGTCAGGCATTTATACAGCGTCCCTCAAGCAGCTGGGGTTAAAGGCCTTGCCCAGGGGTCCAACGGAGTAGGATTCCTCTGCCGGCTGCGGGATTTGAACCTTTCAACCTTCTAGCCACAGGTGCAGATCCTTAGCCACAGAGCCACCACTCCGCCAAGTGTGGTTGCCACTCCCCCAAAACAAGTTGCAAGTTCTACTGCTCTGTTCCATTTGGTGGGTTATTCTTGACTAGGGGGAGCAGATAACGGTTTCAATCCTGAATCCGCTCAAACTGAAGACAAACTCCACACTTTCGAACATCCTAGAGGACAGTGTGTTCGCCCTGTGAGAAACAGGACCTGCAGGACTCACCAAAGGGCACGATAATAGGACAGGTGATGCTGTAGGTCATCACCACCGTGAAGACGCACATCATCCAGGCATAGGCGGCCCCAAATTGGAACTCGTACGCCTGGTGCTGTGAAACAAGACAGGCTTTCAGGCATCTTTGAAACCAGTAGGGCTGGCTTGTAAAAAATAATATGAGAGAGACACATTTCCACCAAATTATTCAGAGGAATTCCAATACTGTTATAAAATGACTGGTAAATGCAGCTAAACAACAGGACAAAAGAAGGAAATGGATAACTGTGGTCCGTGGGGAGAGCTCACCCGCTTCACGTTGCGCCGCTCAGCCACGGACCTGGCCAGGCACAGGCGGATCATGTACATCAGCAGCCCAGGGATGCGCAACAAGTCCATGGCGTTTCCGATGAAGGCCGAGGCGATGACGTAGTTCACGAAGAAGGCCCCGTTGTCTGGGAGGAAGACACACCTGGGGAAGAGGAAGAGACAAGAGCAGGACTGAAGGAGGCAGGGCTGTATCTGCGAAGAAGAACGGAACAGTTTCGTACTGGGAGTTAAAATGCGTTTCGTACTGGGAGTTAAAAACCATTTAACTTACTCAAAGCGAACGGCAGCATCCGCCAAGAATTTCTTGTCAAAGAGCCACCGGAAGAAAAGATCCAAGCTGTATATTTAAGAAAGTGGTAAGAAGAAAAACACTAAATATCAATCTCTGCGTAATATTACTGAATAAATTAACACTTCCTGATCAGAAGTTTTAAAACTGTCAGTGAATTCTATACCGTGGAGACCCGGTTCTCCATGGTCTATGGAGTGGTGCTGTCCAGCAAGAACAGAGGAAAGCTGAGCTGAGCTGGTCAGACACAGCCAAGCCTCACACAGGGTCAGACTGGCCAAAGCACCCTCCATGGTCCAGCATGACAAACAGGCCCCTGTGGTTGGCCAGATGTCCAGAATTTTACAGAGTTAAAAGCAAAGCTGCAACACCTTCCCCATGCTAACCCTGTAGGCGCTGTGGGGCTCATAGCGTGAAAAACATCAAGCGTCTCAGACATTTAGCATCTCTGCAGAAGGCCTTGCTTAGCTCTCAGTCCACCCCATGCTGGTCAGGCTGGTTCCATTAACCAATAGTTGTGCAGATTTCTAGTTTTTAAAATAAGCTTTTGAACATGTATTCTCTTTTGGAGGGAGAAGTCATTTCCACTGTGCTTGCCTACCTGCTGAGCCCCAGTGAGGGTAAGAGGAGAACCATGAAGATGAGGAAAGTGTAGCACTTGTGCATTGTTGTCCTGTTCTCTCCAGACCTACAGGTGAGACACAAAGGGAACAGCACTGAGTCCAGCCATAAGGACTCCAGGTAAATAATCAGGTTTCGGGCTGTAGGGGCCAGTTGTCTTGCAAACCTCTTCGCCTGCAGATGCCTGCATTCAGAAATGGGACTTGATTTCTAAAACAAAAACTTTAGAAGCTCAAAAAATTAATTCCCATTAACCCTCTCTGCACCTTTTCTTCCCACAAGCTAACCTCTTGCTAACCTCCTTTCCTCTCCTACCTTGTTACTTTCTCTTCTGTTTCTTTCTAAGGAGGGTATTTGACATGTCTAGTTGGAAAAAAAAACTTGTGTCATTTAAGTCACTAGAGACAAACGATTACTTTTAACAACCAACAACTGTGGCTCTCACTAAGGTGTCTTGTTTGCTTAAATAAAATCAATTTAAAGAGCTTCCTAGCTTCCAGGAGACAGCTGTGTGTGTCTATGCACTCCAGTACTCATGGCAATCTCACATGATTGGGCATGACCAGGCCGCTCTGAAGGCAAAGGTTCATGGGAGCCCACCGCCTCCTAGAACATCAGGTAACCAGCACACCCAAACACACAGATCAACAAGGAAGTGAAAGAAAATGGACAAGCTGCTAACCCACTTGCATTCCAAGCAACATTAACTATTGGAAATAACCTGATATCATGAAGCTTCCTAATCCTGGCTGTACATGTCTACTCTCGGAAATGTACTTAAAATACGGAAACAAGTAGGAGATATCCAGCACAGCTTGTGCACAATTGCCAGCCTATGGCAGCACCTAGAACGCATCAAACTGCTGTGGAATCAGAAAATTTCCATCCCTAAAAGCAGCAGCTAAATGATTACATAATGAAGCCTCTTTAAAAAAAAACACCTGAAGAAGGCTCCATAACCTAAACGTTATGTCTCTTTTCTTTTCAGTATGGAATAAACCTTTACTTGTTCCTTTGCTAAATATTATTATATTTTCTTAAGAATTAAAAAAGGGTTCCTCACTCAACAACATGTTCAATACCTTGTCCAGTGGGCCTCGAAGAAGGCGGAGTAGTAGACGATGGTGGGCAGCAGAGCAGAGAAGGCCCACAGCAGAAGAGTGGGGAAGAACTGGGTGATGATGGGGTTCTGGGGAGACACAGGAAGAGCACAGCGTAAGCCAGTGGGCGTTCATCTACTCTGCAAAGCAACGGGAACTCTTCCAAGTTGGACCTCAGCTGTAGGAACATCCATTGGCCTTGTCGGCATCCTCCCTTGATCCTCACACCACAACTGGGAAATACTGCACTGTTTTCAGAGAGGGTGTGACCAGGAAAGTCTGAGAAACGGTTATCTGTAAAGATGGTACCAACGGAGTCTGAATGAGCCCAGAGTCAAGCCCTGAATACCCGGGAACTCCTGTGGGACCCGTAGTTCTCAATTTGCATGGAAGATTCTGTTGCTTACTCAAAAACAGGTTAATTAAAAACTAATTTTCCACAAGAATGCTTGTAACTAGGGGAGATGTGTTCTGGGGCCACTCTCAAGCAGAGGGCTGAACTGCCATCATGTTCAGTCATGGAAGATTTTACATAGTTTTACTACCTACAAGCCAATGAAAACTAGATGTGGGTTTTAGCTCAGCAGCCTGATGTGAATCATGAGGGGAAGAGTGTTGCTGGAGTTGGGACACAACTTATATAGTTTTAACCAATTATTAATTGTAGACTGTTCTGTTTAATACATTGATTTAATGTTAAGACTGAAAATTATTATTTTTTTAATTTAATTTAATCATTCACTTTTATTATTTTATTTTTAAATTATTTGCATACATTTTTTCACACAGTAGCTTTCTTTTATGGCCTTATCAATTTAATTTGAGATTTTCTACAATATAAACATAAGCTACAGACTAGGACAATAAAGACACCTATAGATTGTGATTTAGTAAAGGTGAGTTGATGGGAGATGACTGGTGGCTGGAAGACGGCTGTCATGTGTCAGCCAAGTGACTCGCTAGTCATCCTTGCACACAAATGGTACACACAGTGTACATCACCCCAGACACTCCGGCTTATGCTGGCTGCTTTAAGGAAGGACAAATTTGTCCTAAATTAAGTAGCAGCATATATATTTGAGGCCTGTTAAACCAAAAACAAATTAAGAACATGTACATCCAGATGTGTAGGATTATTCAGGGGATGGAAATAGGAGGCACTTCTTCACACAGTTTTACAAGTGGCTGTAAGAATCAGCTGAACCACAGAGTTGAGTAGCTTCCTGTGTTTTTTTTTTAATTTTAATTTTAAGATCCTTTAGATTTAGATTTAAGATCCTTAAATTCTTGAGAGATGACTGTTTAGGAGGCTGCAACGACTGAGCAAAAGAGGCAGCTGTGGGGCCCTGAGCAGGACCAGGAAGACCTGTGTTGTCCAGCAGCCACAGGGAGTGCTTACATTCAGGTACTCCACAGGCTTGGTGACGTTGAACTTGTCCATGGTGGTGATGATGATGGCAGGGGTGGTGAGGAAGAAGAGCAGGAGGAAGAGGATGCAGTTGATGACCAAACAGCGGAGCCACCAAGACAGGCCACCCAGAGACAAGTGCTCCCTGCAAAACACACAGCATGAACTGTCAGCTGACATGGATATCCAGTTTTCTTATATAACCCAGGAGAGCCAACACCACTGAATTGCAGTTGAGAACTCTGGCAAATGTCTGCATTAGAATGAAAACTAGATTATCACAAACTACACACCCAGTGTTTAGTATCTGGTTTTCATTACACAGAGGAAAGAAGCATCTGATTCAATAAGTCACCATCAGGTATGGGATTTAGGATTTGTGTTTGGTGTGTGTCAGATTTAATACAATTCACTCTCTAATTCTGCTGGATATTCATACATAACCCTGAAATTACTGCGGTATTAAAGTATTGCTTTAAATCTGTAAAAAGTTATTTCTGGATATCTACTCTAACCAAGGTGAAGCTACTCATCTGCACCCCAGAGGGATGTCCCTGATCTGTTCCCAATTTTTGCAAGGTTTCCAGACAAGACACTTTTTCTATTGACTGTATATTGAAATACAGAGGAAATGTCCTCTGTCATTGGACAGAGGACATTTCATGTGGGTTTTGAGATTCACTATTACAGCTCTCACCTTAATGCTAAACCATCCATCCATGAATGCTTGTGCATGAACAACACTGGCACAGTACAGTTTCAGGTGAAGACTGAAGGCACCTCCTGCTTCAGTCCAGCACAATCGACAGTGCAGAGTAAACTTTCAAACAGAAAGAGGATCCTAACAGGTACTTGCAGTTACGCTTAACCGAGTTCTGCAGTGTCTTTGCGATGTTCAATTTGTTCTTTAGAGCAGATACTACATAGAAACATATACATACCAATTTAAAAAGAATAGTATACAAGGAAAATAGGTTAATCATTTTTACCAGATCAGATCCCAAATATGCTACAAACACTTAATGGTATTTTATCACAAAGCACAATACAAAGTACATACATAAATTCCATAAAGACACACTTGTAGGTTTTCCAAATTCTGAAATGAACGTCAAAGCCAAGCCCTTAATTCCAAATTCAAGACACAGAGCAGGATTAGGGACCATGAATGGAAACTAAGCACAGCTAAATCTGAGAAGTACGAACAGGAGGCATTTATTCACACGGTGGGGTCACGGGCATGATGAACAAAAAGCCAAGTCATGTCATGGATGCTGATTCATGCATTCAACAAGAGAGCTAAATCATCAGGCTACTGAGAACCAGAAGAGTGGGCTGCACTGAAAGAGCCTCCTCTCATTCACACCTTCTCTTGTTTTTACCTCTGCATTTGGCACTACTGTAAGGGAAGGCACAGATCTAGAAGTGTCAGGCAGGATGACGAGTTAGCATTCAGCCAAACACTCTGGGAATGAGCAAAACGTAGATGACTAAAGGCTACTGGTTTAGACCTCTGTGGAGTCTTGTAACCAGATTTCACTGTTGCTCACGTTTTGGTACTCTTCCAAAGTTCATTTATTAATAAGCACATCATTAATATGGCACAGATGGTGAACAGGTCAAACAAACTCTTCTGCAACACTGATTTCAAAGTCCCAACCATGATTTGTGTCAGACTTCAGTCTAATCACCAATAATACGCAATCACCACTTATTGCACTGTTACTTTGTATTTTCAGACTTAAGGAATGGACACTGCAGAGTACTTAGGAAAACAGCCAAGAGCAATCTTGTACATTATGCTTAGTTTGCAGAAAATATCCCATCTCTGATGGAGCATTTGTCATAACAATCTGAGATGTTTTAAAGTACCAGTGTTTTATAAGAACAGTTGTAATTGTTATTTGGTTAAACAACAAATGTAGTGCAATACTACATACTCCATAAGCTGTGTCTAAGACCTATCTTAAACCTCACTAAGCTGTTGAAGAAGACTCACTGGCTTTCTTCAAGAAAAGGTTGAGATTTTCTGTATCCATTAGCTACTGGACAACAAACTGAGTGGAGTGGACAGAATAGTCTAGAGACCTTTGTAACCTTCTTATTCTAAAATATGCAAAGACGAGCAAGAAATTAAAGGTCACTTAACTTTTCTATTTTGCTTTCGACTTTTGATGTTCTGTTAATTTTGTACAAAAACACACAGGATTTTTTTTCCATTCCTACAAAGACCAAATCCAATTTACTGATATGCTGCAGCTAAACTGTCAACTTGGCTCCGCCCTCCTGCAGCGAGTGCTCATATGAAGATGAGGAGGAGTAAGGGATCAGAGTACGGGCTGTGGCAGGTCTGCTGCCAGTGTCACAGTTTCAGATGAGGTCACACCACAGAGGGAGTCAATGTGTCAGGGCTCACAATGAAAAGGACAGAATTTACAGCTTCAGACATCTAAACACACTTACCATTTCACACCAAAAGAAGGGTCATACAGTTGATATTCTGTCTCATTTTTACTACAAACTACTAATTAATCTGAGGACTTTATCAAGCTCTTTATCAAGTTGATAGATCCCAATGACCAGGCAGTTTTGTCCAGATCCCAGAGATTACTTTTCCTTAGACTACAATAGAATAAAATTCCTTGTTAACATGTTAACATGAAACAAGACTTGGACTAAATTCAAGACTAAGGTACTGTAATGCCTGGGAGATGTAATTTTTGGACATGTCAACTCAATGGACATCTTCAGAATCAACTGAAACTTGAACTTGAAAACGTGAAACATGAACTTGAGGAAATAACATGGCAGTGCACTGAAATTGAGAGCAGGAAGCACTTCTTTATGCAACTGGTTGTGGGAATATGGAAGAACCTGCCCATCCATGTTGCCAAAGCCTATAACCCTGTCTCCTTGCAAGAAAAAGCTGAATGCGTTCCTTTGATTACTTAATGACAAATGAGCTACAGATTCAGCCATTTAAAATGCGCAGTACAAACCCGTACTGCACGCAACTACCCACAGGTCACTGCGTTATACCGGTATGTGATTGGCTGGCCAAAATTACCGACAGGGCACTTGTGGTGCACTGGTCGTTAGTGAAAAGATTTAATAATTTAATCTCTTTATTGTGCATGTTTTAATCCGCTTAGTAGGATTAAGTGTGTGCCTTATAAGCCTGAGGTCCGACGTTCGGACCCAGCCGTCGCCGAGTTTTCTTTAAACCAATAAACATTTCTTTGAAAAAATTAAATAGCAAATTTTATGGACACTATATTGACATTTCTTATATTTCTAAATATCACAACATGTTTGAAGCTAAGTAATTTATTAATAACAACAAATAATTTCAAACTTCTACTGATATTACTGACAATAAATATTATCTACACTATATTGTCATTACAAACATGTATGTAATGTCGGCCATACGCATTACTGAAGCTAAAAGTTTAGCCTTTGTCACTACTGTAACCTAGTGGTAAATAAAGACATAAATATAGAAATCCCTACATTACAAACTGTATATGGCTGGTATTGGTATTTTAAAGAAAAAATATACACCAGTATTCCACTTTCTTCCTAAACTTTTTAAGCATTAAAGTCTTACATGTGGTTATTTTGGAAACATTTTTACGTGCTCCTTCTGACCATATTAAGTTTAAGTGCCCACGGGCACTTTTCCTGTCCGTAGGGGGAAGGGGGGCTGTCTTTCATTCACCTAGTCTACTGTGAGAATGTAGAGAGGGAGGAAACGTGCCCAGGGTCATTTTTTTCACTGACAAAGCTGTGTTCTGTTAACAATAACTACAGTATATTTAACAGCTGACCTCCTAGAGTTACGAGGCTAATTGTCATTGTTTTATATTGTGTTCGATTCGAGGAAAGAAGCCTTTCCCAGATATTAGCTCATCAGTACGTTTACCTGTACCTTTTGTCGGGACAGAGAACTTACTGCACTATAGCTTTGGAAAAGAGACGGACTATGGCCAAAATCAAGACGACTCTCTCACACCGATTTGTGCACAGAAGGGTTAAAAAGAGGTCAGATAGGCAGAGGGAAAGGGGGTGACATCACCGCGCTGGCAAGCCAGTTCTTTAGCTACTTTAGATAATTTTCTTTAGATACGCAATTCCATATTATACTCCCTATTAATCAAATTCTAAAAGTATGCTTTTGTTTATTCCGATAACGACCGTATTCGTAGAAATACAGAAATAGTTTTAAGAATCTGCTAAATAGGGAATATAATATGGAATCGATTATCTAAAGAAATGAATAATGATAATAATTTAAGGATCTAAATATATGGTTTTATATAGCTAGTAGTATTGCTGTAATCCTCTTTCTTTGTAAACATGTTTTATTTTTAATTTTAATTAATCATTAGTATTAAAATTTGCATTGTGATAAATTGTTGCACTTCCACATCTTGTAAAAACATGAATTTGCAAGACTGTGTACAAATATATAAAGACATTAATTTGCAAGACTGTGTTCAAATATACGTTACATTTGAATATCAGAAAACCAGGGTTAACTTTTTTCTGTCTCTCCCTAGTTTCTCTCACCCTCTGCGATTCGCAGAATGGTTAAAAATGGGAATAGGTCAGGGAGGCAGAGGGAACTGGGAGGGTGGAACTGTTACCTGTCCTGGATAAAGTGGTTAGAAAATAGGTGGATTTACACCTGAAAAAAACATTCCAATTTTAATGCCATATGAAAGATATTATTGATAATAAATGACATTGGACGATCTGTAAACTGAAGATTTATAGAGAAGACACATTATGTCTTTTCTTTCCAACTTGGAATTAAGGAATTAACTTTCACCTACTAGTATATTCCATTGCAGCCACTTTATGTAACGCAGCTCCGTACTTCTCACAAAGGCTAGGATTGTTAACAGCCCGCTGTGTAATGTTATGTAGAATAGACGGTTCTGGGGGATGGGAATTTTCAGGAGCATGCTCTGTTGTCATTGTCACTGTTTTCACAACCTTCAATTTATTAAACGTCTATATTTGAGACAGGATGTTCCAGGACTCTGTTTAATTTCTGAAACTCCCTCTGTATTTCCTCTTTAACATGAGGCAACCAGCAATCAAATGTCTTGTTTATTTCTTAACACTTGTTTTCCCATGCTGTAGTTTTAAAACTAGAACAAAGATGTGCCACATGCAAACAGTGTGATGTTGTATAGTTTTAAAACCACTACAGGATAGCTTGTGGGAAATACATTTATTTATACTGCATCAAAGCTGAACTAATTCAGAGCGCCCGACATTAAAAACTCAGAGTTAAAAGAAACTAATTTCCAATGAGTAATAATAATTATAATTGCTTACACTTATAAAGCGCTTTTCTGGACACTCCACTCAAATCACTTTACAGGTAATGGGGACTCCCTTCCACCACCACCAATGTGCAGCCCCACCTGGATGATGTGACGGCAGCCATAGTGCGCCAGAACGCTCACCACACACCAGCTCTCAGTGGGGAGGAGAGCAGAGTGATGAAGCCAGTTCATAGATGGGGATTATTAGGAGGCCATGATTGGTAAGGGCCAATGGGAAATTTGGCCAGGACGCCAGGGTTACACCCTTACTCTTTTCGAGAAACGCCCTGGGATTTTTAATGACCACACAGAGTCAGGACCTCGGTTTTACGTCTCATCCGAAGGACGGCGCCTGTTTACAGTATAGTCGCTATACTGGGGCATTAGGACCCACATTGACCACAGGGTGAGCGCCCCCTGCTGGCCCCACTAACACCTCTTCCAGCAGCAACCTTTGTTTTTCCCAGGATGTCTTCTGTCCAGGTACTGACCAGGCTCACACCTGCTGAGCTTCAGTGGGTTGCCACTTGTGAGTTGCAGAGTGATATGGCTGCTGGCTGCTGAGTAACCCTGTTACAAATGGGAACAGCGCATCGGTCCTTGACAATGGTTAAATAGTACATACGATGTCTGGTGGAGTTTCAATGTTCGCTTTTCTGTAATCTGTATAGAACCGTGACGTCTCATCAATGTTTGGTACCAATAAACAGGGGGGCATCACAGTCTTCCTTCTTTGAACTCAACTGTGCTTCAGTAAATAATGTACACTTTCTGCAATGCTTCTAGTTTAGCAGGATTTATGCAATAAGCACATTGTTTAATGGGGATGACATTACCCACGTCTACTGTATATCACTGTATGACACAGGTTTGAGTCAGAGCGTCTGTTAATAAAACAGATCGCCTTCCAATACATATAACTACTGCATGATTTCTTTATCTATTTCAGCTAAATTATGGAAATTAAACCAGTCAGAATCTCGGAGTGTCAATTGTAAAAATAACCCTTCTTCCCTCCTTTGTTTGACTTAAAGAATTTAGTGAAGAAATCCTTAATCACAATATCATCACTTAATTTATCCAGATACACAAATTCATGCCAGAGTCAACAACAAGCTATAATAGTGGACTATTTTTACACACTCAGCATATGAGAACCAAACCGAAAGTAATGCTCCGATCGTGCTTTGAACCGCCTGGGTGCAGCTCGCTACATTACAGTGCAAGAACAACAGAAGTTTAAAAAAAAATTAAACGTTATAACTTTTTATGAAGTACAGAATATAAGCTTACTAATGTTAGAACAAGCACGTTAAAGTCAGAACCCATATAAATTACCAAGTTAAAGACTTTGATATATAAAATATTTATGCATAATTAAAATATTTACCATAAAGGTGGAAGGTTGTGTACTTTTGTCCAACTGAGCAATCTTGCTTTTATAAAATATACCAACTTTTTAATGTTTAATGATTAATATGCTGTAATACACAGTTTAAAAGTCTAAAGAGTATCCAACTTAAATTCTTAACTGGATAAAGATTGTCCCTCAGCAGTGATCGGAATTCGAAACCGGGTGTTTCTGGCAACAGCTCAAATGCTGTACATGAGAGGTTAAGCTTTATTAGATTCACCTGGTGGTGATTCCGGATACTATTATCAAAACTGCGGTATTGTGCGGTATTGTACGGTATAACGCGATAGGACGAGTTGTGACATGACACGCCCAACGCGTTTTACTGCAGTGTACCCCACTCGTTTTGAATGGCTGCATCTGTAGGTGGGCCAAATAACGTCACATTTCTAAGCTACCTTAGATTCTTAAAATGAACGTATCGGGAACAACATTATAATAATAATTATAATAATAAACTTTATTTTATATAGCGCCTTTAAAGGTGGCTTCTCAAAGCGCTTTACAGGATGACAATAACAATAAATAAGAAGACTACAACAATAAATAAGAAGACTACAACAATAAATAAGAAGATTTCACAAGATAGGACACAATTATAATTACAACAGTACAACAATAACAATAGAGGAGACTGTGGAAGGTGGTATTAAGAAGAGCAGAGGGGTGAAGAATGGAACCAGTTAAGTAAAGGCTTTTCTGAAGAAGAAGTTTTGAGTCTGGATTTGAAGGAGTTTAGAGAAGGTGACTCTCTAATATCCTTGGGTAAAGAGTTCCAGAGCTTGGGGGCATAGCAGGAGAAGGCC